AGAGAGAGAGAGAGAGAGAGAGAGAGAGAGAGTGTTAGGTTCAGAAGAAAACCGTAAAAAAATAAAAAACTGACGAACACTCTCGTAACCGTTAATTTGGATGGTATGTATATGTGCATACATGTAATTTTAAGCAATTTGTCTGGTAAGTACATATGCATACCATGCACACGTCCGTAAAAATCAAGAAATAACTGTCAATTACCAATATGCACGTGTGTGCATACCGTCCTCTCTCTCTCTCTCTCTCTCTCTTTATATATATATATATATATATATATATATATATACTCTATTTCATTATTCAGTAAAAATGATATTAATTTTTTTACATTCATATTAGAAGAATTACCATTATATAAAGAGCTTGTGATCAAATATTTAAAATGGAACTTGGAATGGTTTTAGAACTTTGTTTTAACCATGAATTCGTAATATGCATGAATCTATGAAACTGTGAGTTATATGATTAAGTTAGCTTTAACGTATAAAATCTAAAGTTAAAAAAAAAAAAAAAGGCACGCCTTCAAAAAACGCACGTCATGGGTCACACCTTACAAACGCTATAGACCATAACAATGAAGACGTTCGTACTCCCTTTTGAACAATCGAATCAATACTGGTAACATAAGTTGGTTGGTAGAACATAATATATGATTTTTCATATTAATTATAAGCTGGTTCATACACGACACAGGAAAAAACACGATATTATAAATATTTAATTACTACACTTTTAATTAACTAAATGATTATTTTATCTTTAATAATAATACAGAGAGTATATAATTTCTGTATCTCATAATTAATGATATAACTGAATAGTAGACAGTTGCTTTCGACAATGAAGATTTATTTTATGACAAACTAAAATAGAAATGTGGATATTTATTTATAAAACAGAGGAGAAGATTCGGGAACCACGAGCTTCTATTGACGGTCTAAACTTAAAACTTTACGTATTTAAGTCATCATGCCGAATCGAACGTCGAATGTAGCGTAAGATCTTCTCAAACATTTTCCTTAATTAAATAACAACTCCAACATTACACTTTCACGTATTAATTATATTCTTGACATCCGTTAAACAACGATTCAAAATTTAGTATCTTTACAGTCAACAAGATCATACAGATCAAGGTGGACCTCTGAACCCCCAACAGGGTCCTCGTGCACGACTCAACTGTTTTTTTTTTAAATAGAATCTTGCTTCTGGATTTAGAAAATACAAGATACACCAATCAAAAACCGAAAAGTTCCTTGAATCAACCAAAAAACTTAAAAGAATCCCTTGATACAATGAAATTCGGCCAAAAGGACACCAACCGACTTTTGTGGGTATTTGATCCACCTTTAAAATGCAACCGCTTGACGGAATATATATATATATATATATGTATATATATGTACGTATATATACACACACAAAGAGGATTGAATTCATAGGACAGTCAACCAATTGCTTTTCAGAAGTCAGAAAATGGTGTTCACATAAAGTCAGTATAAGAAATTTCAACACTAAATTCCAAAGATTTTTGACACAATCCCAACAATTTTTGGGTCTTCATTTATTTTGCTCAATCTGTAGTGTGTGTGTGTGAGAGAGAGTGAAATCAAACTCAAAGAATCTGCTAACAAATTACATTCCCAAAGATCGCTGTATTTAATCTTGTGAAAAAAAGAGAAGTTTTCTTGCATTTAATCCGAAACCCCAAATAGTTTCCAACAATTTTCCCTTATCTCTAGGGTTTATTCGTCGTTTTTTCTAAGCTTTTTCAATGGCTTCTTCGTCATCAAAAGGATATTGCTTTCAATGTCAGGATTCAACCTCCATCTTCTTCAGAGACGGATGGAGACTCCGCAATGGCGAATGCGCTCAGCTCTGTAATCGTTGCGCGTAAGCCCCTTTGCCCTCTTCTTCTTCCTCTTTCGGATATTCAATTTTGAAATGGGGATGGTTTGAATTCTTGTTTGTTTCGTGTTTTTTTGAATTCGATTGGTTGAATTGCCGGTTGCTTCCTGATGAGAATACTTTCTGATTGGTGGTTGAATCATGTACGAACAAATTCTTTGAGTTTTCTGAGTGGGAAGTGTTGATTGGAATGCTTACTTGCATTTCAAGTAATCTGGTTTAAATTTATGGTTTATTGGTTTCTGTTGAATATGATGATGCTTATGAATCCAATTGTGCAAACTTGCTGAATCAAAATTAGAAGAACAATGAATGTATTCATTATGAATTTCTGCTTTGGACATGAATGGTTGCTATGTTATAGAAGAATTTTGATGGGTGTAAATTGTTGGAATCTATACGTATTCATTATGAATTTCTGCTTTGTACATGAATGCTTGCTAACATTATAGAAAATTTTTGATGGGTGTAAATTATTGAATTCTATACGTTTTCATTATGAATTGTGATTTGGACATGAATACTTGCTAAGATTATAGAAGAATTTTGATGGGTGTAAATTGTGGAATTCTATATGTATTCATAATGAATTTTCGCTTTGGACATGAATACTTGATAAGATTATAGAAGAATTTTTGATGGGTGTAAATTGCTGAAATCTATATGTATTCATTATGAATTTCTGCTTTGGACATGAATACTTGCTAAGATTATGGAAGAATTTTGATTGGTCTAAGTTGTTGAATTCTATAGTATTCATTATGAAATTTCTGCTTTGGACAGAATACTTGGTAAAAAGATTATAGAAGAATTTTGACGGGTGTAAATTGTTAAAATTCTATGAACGGTACTTTGGTGTGATTCTATCATAAGTTTGTTTGTAGTAACTTATTTTCTTGATCTATTTAGCTATGTTTATGAGGAGGGAAGGTTCTGTGAAACATTTCATTCAAATGATGATGGTTGGAGAGACTGTGAATCTTGTGGGAAGGTGCGTTTAATTCTGAAACTATCAATGCCTATTTTCATGTTAGGGCTATGTTTGGCAAACATAAGTTAGCTCTTGGCCGATAAACTATCTGTTTGCCGATAAACTAGCTGTTGGCTAATAAGCTATTTGTTAGCTGATAAGCTATTCACGTTTGGTAAAAGCTAGTTGATAAGTTAGATGACAACCACCAGGGTTGTGGTGTAGTGGTTGAGGTCCATGGGATGTGGTGGAATATCCCATCTTCCCTGGGTTTGATTTTTGTGCGACAACAATTGTGGCTAGAGGTGGATCTAGGAGGATATTTTTGTGGTTGCACCATAGCACACAACCAAATGAAATTGTAGCAGCCTTAAGGACCTTAGAAAAAAATTACACTACATCTGAAATTTTTTGTGGTTGCACGGGTACCCACTAGAACCCCCTAAATCCGCCACTGATTTTGGCCACCGAGTTTATCAGGGTTGATGTCTTATAGTTGCAGTTTTCAGGGATTAATCTGCGCATAGCCTGGGATACCCTTTCCAAAAAAGAGTTAGATGACTATGTAAAATGACCTAAAAGTATATAGGTGGGATAATTGGAAAAAAGTGAAAAAGCCCCCATAAGCTATTTGATATTTTGATGTAGTTTTTCAAAAAGCTAGCCTATGGCTTACAAAACAAGGTTTTTTCAATAAGATCAAAATAAGCTAGTTTATGGTTGCCAAACATGGTCGTAGTCATACTCAGGTTTACTTATGATTACGTGTATATAAGGATGCGTAGTGTATACAAACATTCTTGTGAATAGATGATGTATTTCGCCTTAATTTGCAGTTGGTTCATTGTGGATGTGTTGTGTCATTCAATCAATATTTTCTGCTGGATTTTGGCGGGGTGATATGCAGGGAATGTTCCAAAAAAAATCTCATTCTGGTAAGATGGAGTCGCTTTCAATTTTGCGTTATTTTTAAGTTCTAACTTTCCTTTTATATGCAATAATTATGTTCTGTTATGCGGAAATTTGTCATGTCTTGGATACCTTTTTGGATATCTAGAAGCAAGAAATGAGATATCTTGAATGATACTGTTTTAATGAACGAAGTAATGGCGTTAGCTTTCCCCAACTTGCTATTCTATATGAGGGGCGATGAGTCTTTTGGAACATTTGAAGGGTCCGTGATTGTCTTTTGTGCGGGTCCACTCAGTTAGAGAACTATAAGGATACATTTGGTACACTGGACATGACAGAACATAAACAGGGTTAACTGTACCATGTTTGGCATGACTTTTATTTGGAACAAAGAGGAACATGCATGCTCTACCCCCACACCATGGAACAAGGTGAAACAAGCCTATATTTTACCAATATACTCTCAAAATAAAATCTAATTTCCTTCTAAAACCTCAAACATGCCTTCTCTTTACATTTTATCCATTCTTTAAATTTTATTATTGTATTTCACTCTTTAGATTGATTATTTGGTAAAAGGAATACTAAAAAAACTCTTTAGGAGTAAATTGGTCATTTTACCGGTCTTGTTCTGTCCAGTACTGTCTTACCAAACACTAAACAACTGTACTGCTCTGTTCTGGTCTGACGGGGTACCAAACGCCCTAAGTACAACACATTTTTTAAACCAAACCAAACCAAACCAAATGAGCTCAGTAAATCCCATTCGGAGGTGGGTTATGGGGATGAGATGTGTGTCTATCCCAAAGTGTTAAGCGGTTGAATCTGTGAAGATGTGTGCTGCAAATTTTATATTCTTGAAACCCAAGCTTCTAATCTCAACGCCCAATATCACTAATGCTTTCACTCAAATATTAACATTCTCGAGCTAGGCGCATAAATGGTAAAATTTGTAAATTAAAATGTCTCGATCATGACCAAGTGAATTCTAATATCAATATATCATAAGGTCCACGATATCTGCAATGGCAAAGTTCAGCAGGTGGTGCTTGAAGTTAAATCAATACCTCTTTTGTCCTAATGTAACGAACTACCACAAATTGGAGCTACATATTTGAAGCCATATATCATGATTTCGATTGAGCATTCACAACCTATACACCAACATTTTTTAAATTGTAGCATATCTGTATTTCTTCTGGAAACAAACCCTCTCCTCTTATCCCCCCTGCCGCCGATCCAACCTCTGGGTGGGATATACTGGGCTTGCTTGGTCTTCATTTATACACGAGCATTGTATGCTAACCAAACTAGATTAGTTTGTCTTCTTAATCGGCATCATGGAGCCGTTATTAATGCCAAATTTTTTTGAAGATTCTTTATCCTTTTTTATATTATGTTCGAAAATTCCAGAACTTGATTTGTTGAACGTTATGTTGGTATTCTAATTCTAGTACCAAAAGGGAAAAACTAATACAGTAAAGTTCTACATGTTATAGGCACGAAATCGTCGCTATGCTCATGAATTTCAAACAGATCCCACAGACGTGCCGGATCTTGCCAAGAGAGTACAGATTGAACCGCATTACTGGCATGATGGTATTGATTTGGAGATACAATGCATCCCTAGGACGTATCCTTTTATCTATATTGTATTTTTATACTCCTTCCGTCCAAAATAACTGTCCACATTTCTATTTTAGTTTGTCCCAAAATAAAGGGTTGTTTGGTTGGTTTTCTAGCAAGTCCTGTTTGGATAGAGCTGTCTTAATGGGACTGGTCGACTATACATGATTGTTTGGTAGTGGTTTAATGATATAGAAAGTGGCTTATTTAGTAAGCTTCTAGGGGAAGCTTTATGTAGTAAGTCAAGTTTTTTTCCCCAAGAGAGTACAGATTGGAGATACAGATTGAACCGCATTACTGGCATGATGGTATTGATTTGGAGATACAATGCATCCCTAGGACTATCCTTTTATCTATATTGTATTTTAATACTCCTTCCGTCCAAAATTGCTGTCTGTTCACATTTCTATTTTAGTTTGTCCCAAATAACTGTCCACATATCCTTACTGATCTTGCCAAGAGAGTACAGATTGAACTGCATTACTGGCATGATGGTATTGGTTTGGAGGTACAATGCATCCCTAGGACATATCCTTTTATCTATATTGTATTTTAATACTCCTTCTGTCCAAAATAATTGTTCACATTTCTATTTTAGTTTGTCCCAAAATAAGGGGTTGTTTTGTTGGGTTGGTTTTTCTAGTAAGTCCTGTTTGGATAGAGCTGTCTTTGTGGATTAATCTGTCTGTATAGATTGAGAAGGTTTTTGTTGGGAGGGTTTTTGCATAGATGGAAGGAGCGTGTTTTGGGAGGTGTAGGTTTGGAAAAAACTTGACTTTCTATATAAAGCTCCCCTAGAAGCTTACTGAATAAGCCACTTTCTAATATCATTAAACCACTACCAAACAATCATGTATAGTTGACCAGTCCTGTTAAGCTCATTAAGCTGCTAACAAATAGGCCCTAATCCACTTTCAAAAGTAAGTGCTTATTTTCCAATTCTACCCTTAATTATCAGGGATAAATTCATTATTCCCTCTATTGTCAAATTGTAAATTTGTCATTTAGTTAATTAAAGAGTATAATTACACATTTCAAACTATTTGCCTTTTTCATTATTGGACCTTTATTTTGGGACGGATGGAATATTCTGTTTACCATTTTAATTTCCAACGGGCTTCATTTTTAGCCTCCGTTGACTAGTGAAAATCCTTAACGGTTTGTTAGCGCCAAATCCATTCTTAATCTTTTGTTTGAAAAAATGTTGACGGCTAGCGACTCTGACCTCAAGTTCGGCCGTATTGTGATTCCGAAGAAATACGCTGAGGTGAGAAAATGAAGGCTCTAATATGATTTAAAATTTTTAGCGTTTTCACAAGCCTTATAGGATTGTATTTGCTATAGAGTACGTGAAGATGCAAAGGATTCAATGACATTAACAAATATTCACAATTGAGCAGACTTTTTTCCCAGAAGTTTTTGAACCGAAAGGGATAATGTTGAATGTACTGGATTTGGAAGGCAAAGAATGGGAGTTTTCGTTTCGTTATTGGCCTAATTGTGGTAGCAGAACGTATGTTTTAGAAGGGCTTAGAGAGATTATGGTTTCAAGAAAATTGCAAGCAGGTGATACAGGTAATTCTATGGTACCTGTAAGATATTTACACACACACACACATATATATATATATATATATGTATGGAGTTAGGTTTAGGGAAAACCACAAAAAATGAAAACTGAGGAACACCGTGGTAGCATTCATCTGTATAGTATATGTGCATACAAGTAATGTGCAAGTAATTTGTCTGGTATGCACATGTGCATAACAAGAAACATCTTCAATTACTTGTATGCACATGTGCACACCGTACAAATGAATGATTATCAAGGTGTTCCTCAGTTTTTCGTATATATATATATATATGTGTGGAAAGGTTCAAATGAGAACCTTAAATATAATTGAGAACTGGTATATGCATCATGATGTATATACTAATTGACATATACATATTTTGATAGAGTATATGAATACTCCGTTTTCACGGTTCTCAAAATATTCATGGTTCTCATTTGAACTTTCACCTATATATATAGGGGCATTTTCTGCTTAGGACCTAAAATTGATTAGGAACCCCAGAGCATGAGACATTGACATATTCATCAGGAATATGGACATGTTATTCATCATGAATGTAGTTATATATCTATCATGTATGTGTGATCCATGATGAATAAAACCTCCATATTCATTATGAATATTCATTTTGAAGAGGGACATTGGCGCACTGAGGGTGGTTCTCGGGTTTCTAATCAATTTTGGATTCCTATGGAACTTCTTTCTCTCTCTCTCTCTCTCTATGTATGTGTGTGTGTATATAATATGGGTGCATGCTCCCTGCCTTCAAACTGCTCCAGTGAAGTTGCTAATTAAGGCCATGTTTGACAACCATTAACTAGCTTAGTTTTTGAGCTTATTGAAAAAGCCTGGTTTGGTAATGTGATAAACTAGCTTATAAGTTTTTTGAAACGTACTTGAAGTAGCGTTTCAATAAGCTTCGGGGGTTCTTTTCCACTGTTTTAATTATGCCTGCAATAAACGGTTTACATTGCCATCTAACTTATCAGCTAGTTTTTACCAAACATGACTACTTTATCAAATATCTTATCAGCTAACAGCTAGCTTATTAGCTAACAACTAGCTTAGTAGCCAACATTTGGCTTATCAGCTAGTTTGCCAAACATAGAATAACTCGAGCCTCTTTCATATATCTAAATCCGTAAACGCTTTCTTGCATTTTTTTGAACGAAATATTATTCTTTGACCTTTAACAACCAACATTCTATTTCTTTTCAGTATCATTTTATCGCATGGAACCAGAGGGAAAGATGGTAATCGGATTTAGAAAGACTTCTGTTCCAAAACCACCTCATCAGGTACGCCATACAACTTTGTTTGATCTCGTGCGGAAATGAAATCTATAAACCAACTCGGTCTTTCCTCTAATGTTCAAACTGAAAATTGATTTACTACTTCACCAAATTATAGAATTACCAGAAAAACATTAGAAACCATTAAAGATGGTTCTCTAATCAGTATTACCAGGAAGATGACTAACTTATTGTGTTTTTTGGAAGGGTGTCTTATGCTATGTCCAGACTAACCCCAACAAATTGTAACTTTAAGACATCAACCCTGATAAAGTTAGTGGCCACGATTGTTGTGGACGCCTAGAATCGAACCCGGGCCAGATGGGATATTCCACCACCACATCCCCTGGGCCTCGACCGCTACGCCACAACCCTTGACCAAAATGCATCAAAATACAACGGAGTTTGGATTTGATTCATTCTAGTCAAATGAATCATTTTTTTTTCTTTTCTCAATAGATATAATAAAGCTTCAAACTTTCCAATTATGTGTCAATTTTACCAGCAACCTGCTCATCTTGTAACATTTGATGACGTGAATACACGTTTATGGAAGATTACAAAATGTTTACGGAAGGGTTACAACTAAGTGGACGATAAATTTGACATCCACATCATCAAATGTTACAAGATTAGCAGGTTACTGGTTAAATGTTGGTATCATTACTTTAAATAGAAAATTTGAAACTTCATCGTACTGATTGAGAAAAAAGTTTATTTGTTACACTAAATTGGAACCAAAGCAAACTTCGTTGCATTTTGATGCATTTTACCCATTTGTTTTTTAAGTATATAGTATTTATATACAACAAATAAGGTTGATGGAACAAGATTGATAAATTACTAAATTACCCATATCAAAATAAAACCGTAAAACCTTCCCCAATTCTTTCATTCGCCTACCTCACTTTCCCCGTTCAGTTCTGTCCGCAAGTCTGTTGCTGATCTTTCACCGTAACTTGGTGCATTTCATTGATGATGTATTGGTTTACGAGTATATACAGCATAAAACAAAGAGAATTTAGACATCAAACCTTACGGTTCCTTAATTATCATTCATTTTTGGTTCGATAACCTCAACTTTTACATGCTAAACGTTCTAAATATTTGCAGGCATCCACCTGAATGTGATGAAACAACATATTCATCCAGAAGCAGATCCCTGGAAGTAGTTGCCATCTTCTTTACATCGTGATCGTGAGTGCTTACAAGAGCATTCTTGGTCGTAAAATGGAAATAGTCGCCCGTTTCAAGTAGACCCCATTAACAGAGACAAATCGATGTTTTTTTTTCTTTCAAATTTTGGTTAGAAAATAGATTAGCAGCGAAAACTTGAGAAGTTCGCCCGTGTTTGTTTATAACAAATTCTTGCTTCAAATATTCGTGACATTGAAAATGAAAGATCTTGGTTCCAGTATAATTTCTGATACAACATGTTCTGTTCTGTCTCAAGATGATTTATCAAGTTATAAGTTGATGGATAAGTGATATCAAATCAATTTGGGGTTGCTTGTTTACCTCTTAATAGTTCTATTAAGAGACAATCTCTGAGTCGTTAAGAGGTAAATCTTGTTTGGCAAAAAAAAAAAAGTCAGCTTCTTAATGGTTTCAAAACCCTCTGAATGATTTTGTATTATGGATCTCCCTTAACCATTAAGAGCCCTAATTTCATTGTATACAATTACCAAACAATTATATTTCATTTTGCATTATATCATAGGAGTCTCTTAATCATTCTGACCACCTAATCATTATGTACCAAATCATTCAGCAATTGCCCAACAGCCCCAAACTAAACAAAACCAGTAAATCTTGTCTGAAACGAAGGTTTGGAGGTAAGATATACACAGATCATACCTTTAACGTTTAAGAGACAAGAAAAACTATTTCTGATAACAACCCTCACTTACAAAAAGAGCTAGGAAAACAGAAACTTGAGTTTCGAACAAAACTTCTCTTTAAAGGCGATTGATGGATAGCAATCCAACAAATCATTTTACGAGAACTCAAGAACATTAAAGAAAGGCAAAAGCAACATGATACTGTGTGGGGACAAAATAGCGTGTTGACAAGGTCGCCTGCATCCCTCATGTTTTTATCACCAGTTTATCACATGTGATGGTTGTCTGTTTTATCATAAAATGGTACCCGTTTTCATTTGCACTCTTCTGTTATTAGATATATATTTTGAAAATATTTATTATATATGTATGAACATGTATTGAAACTGTTTATTGGTCTTATGCATATTTACATACTAGACATATTGCTTATATTTATGTACACGTGCATATAAATAATTTATAAACACGCGAATAAAAATCAAAAAACAACTTCAATTACTTGTATGTATACTGTTCTAACGAACGATAATCAGATTTTTACTCAACAGTTTCGTATACGTTTACTCAAAACATTGATATTTTGTCAAAAAAAGAGAGGGTACAAAATGACCGTTGCAAGAAACGAAGACGTGGTTCGTTCACCTTAACGACTGTGGTCGTCGACTCTTCTCTCTTCCTCTGCAACGAAATCCTTCTCAGAAGAAGAAGTTATGAATTTGAGTATTAATGGCAGCCATGGCGTTCCGCATCGTCTCATCACAAGCTATCATCGACCACAGAAAACCATATCTGGTTAGTTCGATTTGCTTGCCCTTAATTATTCATCTCTTTGCTGGAACCATTATCTGAACAAAATTCTTCTTACTTTTGTGATCTTGTGCTGAAATCAAAGGAACATATGAAGTTCCAATCAAAATGATCAAGAAATCGGTTAATGAAGATGATTCTGCAAAGGAAATATCTTCTTCTTCGAGGATTGACCTGAATTTAAGCCTCAGAACCACCTCGTTGATGACCGCCATATCAGGTAGGATTTTCCATTGAAGTTTCTTCCGCATATTTTTGTATTTTTTCCCTTTTTTTTCTATTGTTTAATTTTCTCAACACTAGTAATTCACCATTTTTTAAACCTATCTGGATTGTTTACCAGATTGCTTTATTTTGATCAGTTAACCCTAACTCTGTCTGTAGGTACTGGTACTTTGCTCAACTTTACTGTTCATAGTAACATGTATATTTAATCTTGGACAATTTTAGAAAATGGAGTCAAATTTGAGGGTTATGATCGAATCTCCGATTGTTTTTATAAACATCTATTTTAGGGAAAGTTCTTCCTCTTCCAATCCTCCTTTGGGTGTTTGTGAAATAACACAAGAACATTTTTCCAAGATCTATTTCCAGGCTTAGTTTTCTTGTAGTTGGCTGTGGTTTGGGAGTTGGGCATATGATGTTAAATGTTCTCCATTTTGATGTTTCAGCTGCAAATTTGGTTTCTGCTCACAGTGCACATGCCTTGAATATGGAAGCAATCATGGTACAAACTCTTTCCCATAAGTTTTTATCTTCTTCCAACTTCTTGACTCTTCACCAATGCTGCTTTTGTGCATGGTAATTGAACTTCTTAAAGCATCTCCAACTGATCTTGCAAAGATTTTGGAGTTCTTAACCACTTTTTTGTGCTCCAACAGATTCTCCATAGTGGAGAAAGTAGGAGAGAGAGGATAAAAATATCCAAAATTGTGATTACCCGTGGTAGCAAAGAACTTCTGTTTAATTCAATAGCAACCAGAAGATAAAAACAAGTGGTTAAATGGTTATAAGTTCACCAATATGATCTTAAATGCCATGATAAACGTAGTTTGGTTGTTATGCGATACCCATCAATCCCTTGGTCCGCTTTCTTTATTTGAGGTTCATTCTGTTTCTAGATAGATTTAAGAAGAGCAGCTTAAGCATACCTACTTGTATTTTCTTCAATTTAATTTTTTTTGTAATCCTGTTTGCACGAGTTTTCTGAATGTTGTTGAAGCATGCTATCTGTTTATGTAAATTTTCTAGGTTTAAATTGAAAATATGCTAATGCTTCATAGAACATACAATAAATCAAATGAAAATGTTTTCTGTGTCCAGTGTAAATTGAAGAGCAGATCCATTCAAAGAGTCTTCTTGTTCTTAAATCCATGTACAAGTATACAACCTAGATTTAGAGTGTTGGAGTCCCACTTCGGCTAGGCTTGGACCATTTTTCCTCGATATATGTTGAAACCACTCTTCTCTCCTCAAGAGTTCTTTTGGAGAGTAATCTAATGGGGGTTTCACATATGCTCACATGGTATCAAAGCCAAGGTCTACCACTCCGGGGACTTGACGCTCTGAGGCAATATGTACTCGTCTAACCCCCTCACCCGTCTAGCCCCTCTTGACTATGTCGGACAACTTGTTTTCGTCTAGCCTCGTTGGAGGGGGCATGTTGGAGTCCCACATAGGCTAGGCTTGGACCATTTCTCTCTATATTTGTTGGAACCCTGTTCTCTCCTCAAGGATTCTTTTGGGCAGTAATATGATGCAGTTCCACATATTCTCACATGGTATAAGAGCCAAAGCCTACCATACTGGGGACTCAACACGTTGTGGCAATTTGTACCTGTTAGCTCCCTCTTGACACTCCGAGACAATCTGTGTCCGTTTAGCCTCCGTTGGAGGGGGCGTCTCATCGGCTAGATTTGGACCATTTCTCCTTGAAATATATTGTAACCTCCCTTCTCTCTAGAGGGCTCTTTTGGAGAGTAATGGGAGTTCCAACATAGAGGAATAGTTTTAGTTGTATGATTTGAATGCAGTTTCTTTTTCTATTATGCCGATATCTATTAATACTATTAGCATGTGTACTCATGCAAATAAGCTCAGGAACTACAATTATTTTCCTTCAAATCAGGAAAGAACCGCTTCTTCTGTTTACACCTTGGCTGATGGAAGCCTTGGAGATTGGTTTGGAGGCCTCATGTATTCAGCCGGGCAACAAGCAAACGAAGCTGTTCAGATTCAGCTAGGAGCTCTAAGTTTTACTAGGTGCAGGGGTGATCATTTTAGCATTGTTAAAGTTTGAAGAACTATTAATGATATTCATACTATATTAATTTTCCTGTCCCCTAATGTTCTTTCTACAGCCTGGTGGTTATATTTGGCGCAGGACTAGTAACTAGCCTTTCCCCTTGCACGCTAAGTGTTCTACCATTGACCCTTGGTTATATTGGTAAGAAGCTTCTAGTTTTGTAGCATTAGATGATTACCTTTGTTTTGTAGCCGTCAGAGTTGTTCCCATCTTTTTGGATGCCATGTTAGACCTATACCAAGACTATAGATCGATTTCGATTGGACATGTTTTAAAAACAGCATATAAAAGTTCATACCATATATTTTATTTAAAGTCTTATTAATGTAACCAAAAAAAATATCTTAAAATGACAAAGTAACACATGAAATTCACTAAAATAGAATCATTCTTCGAAACAAAATCTTAAGAGTAAAAGCCTAAAACATTATAATTGGGCTAACGCTAAAACATATATAATTGGGCTAAAGGCTAAAAACATGTATAATTGGGACCCAAAAATTTTGGGGTCTTGTTCCATATCTCACATTGGTACACCCTTACACACGGCCTGGGTAACCGTTGCCTCTCATCATGTCTGATGCTGATCTCTGTGGGGATGTTGTAAAATGTTCAGGTGCATTTGGATCTGGAAAAAGTAGAGCGGAGGTAATTTCCTTGTCATCCCTTCTCGTTTTACCTAAAATTCATGAATTCCCATATGTAACTTTCACAATGTTAGAACAAGTAATAGTTTGAAATGTCGAGATTAAGAGAAGATAGATCGTGTCTTCTATTAAGAGGTAGACCTTGAACTGGGTGGACAGTTGAGCGGAAGAGAACTTAGATTTTATTCGGAAAAAAATTCATGGTGGATCAGGATGAAAAGTGACAACAGTGCATTGTGGTCGCACACCCTTCGCACACTGTATTTCCTTCTTGCAGAATTCTAACTTACTTCTGTCTCTGAGATGGTTAGATGAACTACAAAAATTGTGAAGAATTTAACAAATGTTAACTGATTTCATATTTGGTCTTTTATTGTACTTCACTCCTATTAATGGTTTCACTCAGATTGTAGGGGACTCTCTTGCATTTGCATTGGGTTTGGCCACCACACTAGCATTACTTGGTGTAGCGGCCTCAATTGCCGGCAAAGCATATGGACAAGTAGGGCAGGGTTTACCATTGGCTGCTTCTGGTTTGGCGGTCATTATGGGATTAAATCTTCTGGAGGCAAGTAATCATATTATTTTTCATATTCATCTGGTGGTTCATTTTCCCTGTACCTAGCCCTCAGGGCGTAGCACTGTTGGTACTTGAACAATTGTCTGTATTTGGTATACTGTTGGTAACAAGTCTATACCTAGCCCTCAGTATAATTGCACAAACTGGCAAGGGTTCAAGTCTGGCAGCTGCAACAATTTCTTTGGGGATTGGGCTCCTTGTGGACATGGGCTCTTAAGTCGGCCACCTAGCAGCCTGTTATATACTTGATTTGCCTCTCACATGATGCTCTTGGGGTCGGGCGAGGCTGTGACAGAGTGTCCCTGTTAAAAAAAACCCTTTTAAAGTCTATTATGGGTCTGTTTGTTAGCAGCTTAATGAGCTTAATGGAACTTACAGCTTATTCAGTCAGCTATAGATAACTGTTTAATAGTTGCTTAATGATATAGAAAGTGGCTTAGAAGTAAGCTTCTAGGGGGAGCTTTATGCAAAAATTCAAGTTTTTTTCAAACCTGCCCCTCCCACTTAAAAAATACACTCATTATTTCTATGAAAAACCCCTCTCAAACGAAAACCTTTCACAATTTTTACAGACAGATTAATCCACAGGCTTTGTCCATACAGGGCTTGATGGAAAATCAACCAAACAGCCTATGTGTGCTTATTGGTTTCATGTTATACCTGTTTGTGGCTTATTTTTCTTTCCCCAACTAGCACTGTTTATCAAAATGCTACTCCTCCGTCCCAAAATAAATGTCCACATTGAAAAAGGCACACAACACAGTTTCAGAAATGTGTAATTATTATACTCTTTAATTAATAAATGACAATTTTACTCTTAATATTAGAGGCGGTAATGAATTTCTTCATCTCGTAATTAAGGGTAGAATTGGAAAGTAGTACTTTTGAAAGTGGACACTTATTTTCGGGTAAAATAGAAATATGGACACTTATTTTGGGACGGAGGGACTATATTGAAGTTGTTCTATTCTTGGCTAATGTTGCAGGTAATAGAGATACAACTGCCTTCATTTTTGGACAACTTTGATCCACGCGCTGCTGCTGCTAATTTTCCTTCGAGTAATGAAAATCAAATTCCATAATTATCTATCCCACAATGATCTCAGCTTCTGGCACGTAAAATAAAAATTGACGACCTAAGCATGCAACTAACTTCTCAGGCATCCAAGCATATTTGGCTGGTCTTACGTTCGCATTAGCTGCATCGCCTTGCAGCACACCCGTGCTAGCCACCCTACTTGGATATGTTGCGGCATCCAAGGTATTATTCATGTATATTGTATTGTTAGGTTGGGTTCTAGTGAGAATGAAAGTTATGTTGAGAAGGGTAAGAAGGGATCTCCACCCTTGGATCAATCCTAATTGAAGATCAACAATAATGAGATGCACTGGATCAATTCCCGTATCAAGTGCATTTCATGGGGTGGGGTGAGATTAAAAGCGATCAAGGGGTCCATATCCCTTCTTATGCTTCTCACCTTAACTCCTATTTTCACATGATCCTTCGTCTGCATTTTTATATTGCTATAACGAAACAAATGACTTAGGAAAGCTTTTCTGGGGTTATACCCCCTGCAAGGCCTGCTCTAGTGTTAGGCCATTGCCTAAGGCCTATTATAATAAAAGGCCTAATTTTATGATGCATTTAGTATGATATTTATAGTTAATAATAGTTCTATTTAATGTTATCAATTCCTTTTTCCTACTAATCATTTAGTTAGTAATATGTTTTTAATTTTTTGACGTTCTATCAACTATTCACTCTATTATACTTCTTATAGAAAGATAACAATCATGAAAAAAATTAGTAATTGTATGATTTTTCTTGATAAAACATGAATCATTGTAGAAAATAAGAGTTCAGATAATAATTTGGGTAATATTTATGATCCGGGAAGTGATAATAAACTAAGAGATTTATTAACAGAAAAATGTCCGACCAGAGCAAGCGATATGTGATTTCCTAGGGATGAAAATTTTAGGCATTTCTCAAATTTGTATTACATTTTAGAAAATGTCAAATGGTGAAAAACATATGAAAAGTGGATGTTATATATATTCAAAAGATAAAGTTTCAATAAATATAAAAAAGGGTTCTAGGCCTACTTATATTTTTGGTCTAAGGCCTATTTTAAACTTGAGACGGCCCTGACTCCCTGATTCCTGAAATAAGTGTCCACATTCTTATTTTTGTTTGTCCTAGAATAAGTGTCCACTTTCTAAAGTAAGTACTTATTTTCCAATTTTACTCTTAATTATGAGATGGAGAAATTCATAACTCTCTATTTTGTTAAAGTATATAATATTTATATATGGCACATTAACTCACACACCTTTGACCTTCCATACATTTGGTATAGTTTGAACCCTTAATCTTCTGGGAGGTTAGGTTTTACCGGCAACCCATGTAACCTAGGCCAAAGGCCTTGTGGTTACTCTCTCTATTATCAAGGGTAAAATTGTCAATTAATTAATTAAAAAGTGTAATAATTACAAATTTCTAAAACTGTGTCTTTTTCGCTACGGACGTGTATTTTAGGGACGGAGGGAGTAATCCTTATGAAATACTACCCTGCTTTTTAAGAATATCATGAAAGCAACCGCTCTACGCCTGTACCCTTTGGTGTGCGTACATCCCAAGCTGGGGCCCTACTTTTGAGTATATTGTGTTCATTTGGTATGGTTTAGTTTCCCCAACTTCAAGAATAATAAAGATAATAGTCTGAAAATCTTACGGATTCTGTTTTTAGACTTGAGCACCACCTCCTCCTATTTATAGGAAGTGAAATAAAACTTTAGGCTTCAGCACCTCTTATAAAACAAACACCACCTTGCTTGATTACATGGTGGGTTGCTTAATAATTGCTAACGGAATATATGTTCTTTTTGCAATTATGGGAAGTACAAGCACCGAGTTTTTTTGTTGCAACAGGATCCCATAATCGGTGGCAGCTTACTCTTGACGTACACCACTGGCTACGTTGCTCCTCTGCTTCTTGCAGCTTCTTTTGCTGGAGCGTTGCAGGTATAATATGCTACCATGCTTCCTTAAACATTAAATGTAAGAGCATCTCCAATAGATTTTCTAAAATGGAGAAAATGGAGATTTTGAGCAAATTTTTGCTCCAAAATGGAGAAAACACAAGAGAGAGTGTATGAGATTCTCCAAAATGGAGAACATGGAGATTTGGGGCAAATTTTTGCTCCAAAATGGAGAAAACACGAGAGACAGTGCGTGAAATTCTCCAAAACGGATAACATGGAGATTTTGGGCAAATTTTTGCTTCAAAATAGAGAAAACATGAGATTTTCCAAATTTGGAGAATTCCCCAAAAATGAGTACCATGAGAGAGAATTTTTTTTATTATATTCCCACAAATAAGAAACCTTGATGTTAAATGTTTATGAGAGAGAAATAATATTTTATTAAATGTATGAAATATTTTAATAAGTATAATTAATATTTGCAATCTCCAAAATAGAGAATTTGTTGGAGTTGAATGTTTTTTTTTTTCTTTTTGGTTCTCTATTTTGGAGAAAGTTTGGAGAATCTGCTGCAGATGCTCTAACCTACCAAAATATATTTATACACTATTCGATCTTTCTTGGCCTTCTTTCAAACTCTTCGCACTTTGTAGGCAAGCTCTCCTTGGGAAATTTACAAAAAATAGCCAATCTCCCAAGCTCTTCTCACTTTATACCCACATCCAGAACCCAATTCAATTTTTACCCAATCCTATGCATATGCGTAAGGATTGGTTTTTGGCCCAAAAAAAAAGAATCCTTACGAATACGCGTAAGGTTTCTGCTTAAGGATTCCACATCCGTTGGCGATTTCTGCGCAAGGATTGGTTTCTACGTGGAATCCTTACACAAAATCCCTACGCAGAAACCTTACACATATGCGTAAGGATTCTTTTTTTTCTTTACCTGCAAAACAATCCTACGCATATGCATAAGCCTTCTACATAAGTATGGGCAGCCCTACCTTATGGGGTATGGTTGCCCGTGCAACCATAAAAATGTAGGGCCTAAGTGTAATTTTCTAAGGCATATAAATGTGAAACCATAAGTTTTTTTAGAGTTGAAACCATAAGATTTTTTGGGATGGAAGGTAAGATGTCATGCATCAATTGTAATTGTAATTGTAATTGTAATTGTAATTGTTATCTTGTTTTAAGATTTGAGTAACAGAATTTGTCAATGTGCAGAGTCTGCTCTCTTTCCGCAAGTTCTCGGCATGGATTAATCCTATGAGGTAATCTTTACGATCTTTTAGTTTTCTTAAAAGATATTGTGCGTTTTTTAGACTCGTTTACCGTGTTCTTTTCCTGGTTACTTTACGTCTGATGCATATCGACCCTTTTGTTTGCAGTGGCGCACTCCTGTTAGGCGGGGGCGTATATACACTCTTGGATAAGGCTTTCCCGCCTACATCAATGGTGATGTAGTTTAGTTATATCTATATCTATATCTATAGTGAAGTTGTATGTAAAGGATGCAACATGAATCAGAATATGTATAGTTTCGTTGACAGTTCCTCTGTGTGAGATATACCGGCTTCATTTGGTTTATTTTGGGTCGGCACTAGAGATGCACAAGGCATGGCCTTTCAAATCCGTTTTCAGTACGCAAAAGAGAGTGTTAAAATAGGCCTGATCGAGCTTTTGGAAAGGAAAAAAACTGTGGCATCTCGGTAACACTTTCTTAAAGAAAAAAAACTTAAAACGTGTTTTTGCTCACTTTTAATTCTCTCCTAAACCGAACAAACCCATCAATGGTTAACCCTCATGGCGTATGGTTTATGGTGTGGTGCCGTCATGGTGCGTTTTTTTGGTTTTACTTTTTCGGCTAAAAAAAGTAACGGAGCTTTGTATTCTTTTTGTAAGATGTATGTATTATATATTGTTTTTAGATGAACTTAAAGCAAATCAAATGAGAACCATAAAAAAGTTATAGATTCGTAAGGATCAATATAAATATGTATTTTACAAGATCTATTTTCATCAAAAACAAGTTTCTTAAGATATTTTTCGTTTCACTATATGAACAAAAAATCATGTGAACCATAAGGGTGGTGTCTGATTGGTTTGAGCTTGGCTCCAAAGATCAAAAGTACGTGGAGGTCCCAGGTTGAAATCCAAGGAGGAATAAAAATCCCCTTGTGGTCACAGAGGTTCAAATGCGATGACTCCGGACTATCTGCAAAACAGGTGGTTGCCGTGGGATTAATCGGCTCGCATAGCGGGTTGGATATCCAGGTTAATAAAAAACAAAATCATGTGTATTTTTTTTACAATCTCAACACAAATATATATATATATATATATATATATATATATATATATATATAAATGTCTTAAATCATAGCACTTACAGAAGAAAAAAAAATCATGTAAAAAATATTTTTATACACGCATACACTTGCCGTATTACATTATACCTTAAAATAATTACCGTCACTATTAGAACTCGAGGTTTGACCCCATCATTACACCATATCTCAACGATTTAAACCGAAAATATAGAGGACCCATGCGTGGCAACGCCTAACTCGAGCATTTGCTACAATCAAGCAAACCAAAACGACGAATTTGGTCCTATATAGTTTTTTTTCAAACAATATTCTTGTTACAAGCAAAACTAAATTATTTTAGCAAACTAAATACCTTGTACTACCGATCGTTTTTTATTGATAACATTTGATTGCTTCTGTAAACAAATTATTCCAAAGATAAAACGATTTAAACTTGGTTAACACGAACACATTTGGAGTTAAAATTTACATTCACGATGATATGAAGGGTCGAGGGTGTACCAAATTTAGATATGTGGGCCTCGGTTGTCCAGGCCGGCTTCACCCCTAAACATGAACGATTCGGCTTGGCTACAAACCGATCATCACAATTCAATATGTAAAAATTTTAAACTCGAAGGGGTCAACCCTTCCAAACCTTCCAGACCAAACGACGTTATCATAAATAAAAAATCATGAATAATGTGAATAAAACCAAACCAAACGAGCCCATTAGCCCAATACATTCCATCCAGAAGTGGGGTCTTGGAAGGTGGGATGTTGTACATTGACCTACCCTCTATCTCAAAGAGCAGGATGGTTGTGAATACACTCAGCTTGTGATAAGTGCGGAAAAAAGAGAGCCTGCCCCCCAAAAAGGGGAATAAACCAAACCAAATAAACCCAGTATATCTCCACCCAGATGCAGGGTCTAAAGGATACGATGTATGCAAACTTTTATCTCTGTAGATCGAGATAAGGGAGGTTGTTAATGAAAATATGAAGCGAAAAGAAACTGAAAATCGAGTTCTTTTTCTACAATTAGTTTACATTCCAATAGGCCAATATCTGTATTTTCTATCTAAATTACTTTTATATGGTATTTATACTATATATAAAACCTGCATATCATGGTTTTGAGAACATCCCTTGGGTCAATGATGAGAAATCATAGTCTTTGGCAGAAGACTGTGAAGAAGAAGAAGAAGATCCAGATGATACCGGAAGAGTTGCCGATTGCGGTTTTGATGCTCCAGATGACCCTGCGTTGTTCAAATAAGCGTTTTGCGTTGTTGCTCCCGGTAATGCTGCTCCAGGAAGCGGCATCTCGTTTGTACCAACTTGTGGTCCCATGGTGTAAAAGCTACAAAAAAATGATTAATTAATGCAGAGATCTCAAGAACAAAAAATCCCTTGCATAAAAAACCCCTTGCAAATGATTGGGACTCTATATTAGAAGTTATGATATATATAGGTGGAGGTTCAAACGAGAACACCTTCATTTCACGAAAATGTGAAAACGCCCTCATCACATGTGATAATACACGTGAGAGGACTTGGTGGTGTGTGGACGACGTGTTGCGTCTCTGATTTAGTATCACATGTGATAGATTATAGTATTACATCAAGAAGACTCTTATCACATGTGATATAATACATGTGAAGGGGCCTAGTGGTGTGGCCAGGGATGAACCCATAATCTTTTTCAAGCGGAGGCACCATTTAACTATAAGAAACAAATATAGAGATATTTTTCACAAAATCATCATATTGTTTTGTTGGTTAGTTCATTGCTTTTCATATGTGAGGTCCTATGTTTAAGTCTTTTATTGCAATTTTTTTCAGATGCACAATAAATCTGAAATTAAAAGCTAAAAACTAAGAAAATGACACTAATAGAATTCAAACTTGGGTCCGGGGTGGAAGAAAAGTCTTGCAAACCAACTCTACCAAGGGAAACTTGTGTCCTCATTGTAGTTTCAAAATATATATGGTAACACACAACAAATTGATACAGTGACACTTTTCACGGCCCTATAATTGTTTACACTACGACGGAGGAATGAAATGGTGGCACGTGCCACCACAAAAACCTCCTGGGTCCGTCCCTGGATGAGGCTCAAATCCTTGACCTCCAAGGAGGTTGGAATCTACCGGTAATTAGCATACCCCTATGCCAATGACCCTTTGGCTTGTACAAGTCTTGCCGAACACTACAGATAATTAGTCATGTCCAGTCCAGTTCCATCCTACCCAGTCCGTGTGCCAAACACATATACTATTTAGTTGTTAAGTGAACTTTAATTCGAGTAATGGTTGTGAGATCCAAACTCGACTAACAATTTGCATATGCATGCCAAATAGATTGGCTTCCAAAACCCATTATATAGGGTTGGGTTCCGGTGAAAATGGAAGTTATGGTGAGAACTAGGAAAGGGTAAGAAGGGATCTCCATCCTTGGAACAATCCTAATTGGAGATCAACAACAATGAGATGCACCGGATCAGTTCCTGTATCAAGCATAATTCATGGGTGGGGGTGAGATTAAAAATGATCAAGGGTCCAGATCCTTTCTTAAACTTCTCACTTAACTCCTATTCTCACACGATCCTTCCTCTATATATACATACATACATATAAGCCAAAACAAACTCGATATATACCGTACCTGGATGTTGGTATCTGAGCTGAGTTCCCACCTGAATTTGCTGCTGCCATGTTTCTTATCTAGTTCAAGAGCAAGTGTGCAAAGTCAATAATGAGGTTCATGCAAACTCTTTTTCTTCGATTAACCGCAATTTAAAGAAGATTAAAATACAAAAGTAGCATACAAAGGAGACCAGGCTGCAATTTTGGCTTTGATAGATTCAGCCATCCTACATCAGTTGTGCTAAATCTCCAACGGTTTTTTCATAATTTCTCCATAATTTCCAAATTTTTTAAAAGATCAAATCAAAAAAACAATTACATTCAACTTCCACGATATCTCCATTTTGAAGATTCCAACATTAATTACTCCCTTCGTCCCAAAATAAGTGTCCACATTTCTATTTATGTCTGTTCTAAAATAAGTGTCCAATGTCAAAATTAGATAACTAAATTCTCAAATCTACCCTTCATAAATGCACAGATATTTAAGAGTTGTGAAGAGAGAGATTATTTAATTAAGGGTAAATTTGTCATTTGATTAACTAAAGAGTGTAACAATTATGCATATGTAAAGCCTTATGTCTTTCTAATGTGGACACTTGTTTTGGGGTCGATGAAGTATATTATTAAAATATTCAGTAATACGAAGAAGAAGAAAAATCCTTCTCCCTTCCTCCATTTGATTTTATTGGTAGGTTGGGAAGTTCTTTTCTGGGGAAAAACAAAAAGGTCATTATCTCTCTTCCTACTTTTATTTTCGAAGGATTCTCCAAATTTCCAGAAATTTCGTCTTTCTCCTACATTCTCCATTTTGGAGAAGCCGTTGGAGCAAAAAAAGAGCCTAAAAACTCCAAAATCTCCTTTTTTTTCCCATTTGGGAGGAGTTGTTAGAGATGCTCTAAGAGCATCTTCAACAGCTATGCTATAATTTTTCTAAAATACCGTATCAAAAATCAAAATATCTAAAAGAACTACATCCAACTCTAACAACTACAATATTCTAGCAATTCTAGCATTAACTATATTATTAAAATATTCAATACATTTAATAAAATATTATTTCTCTCTCCTAAACATTTATTTTCAATATCTCTTATTGATGAGAAGGAATTAAAATATTATTTCTCTCTCTCCTATATAGAATTAGAGTTTTCCCTAAATTTAGAGATTTACACTCTTCTTTTTTCTATTTTACCATAGAATATAGCATAGCTGTTGGAGCACAAAACTCTCATAAAAGTAAGAATTTCTAAAAAAAATTATATCCAACTCCAACAACTACTATGTTTTAGCAATCCTATCATTAGCTATATTATTAAAATATTCAATATATTTAATAAAATATTATCTCTCTCCTAAATACTTAACTTCAATATCTCCTATTGGTGAGAAAGAATTAAATATTGTTTCTCTCTTAAACATGGAGCTTTAGAGATTTCTCCAGATTTGGAGATTTCTACCACATCTTTCTTCATTTCTCTGTTTTAGCATACATTATAGCATATAGCTGTTGGAGCAAAAAAATCTCCAAAATCTCTATTTTAGCATAGCTGTTTGAGATACTCTAAATCACCAAAATTTCTAAAATAGCATAGTTGTTGGAGATGCTCTAAGAATTCATGGATTTTACCTGCTGCAAATATTTTTCCACTTCCTCTTTTCTAACAGCTGGTATCATCATTCCCGGAATTTGGTTACCAGCATTTAGCCAGTTTTGATTAGGCAAGTTTGCACCACTCGGCACTGGCTGTTGCCCATTTCCAGAAAAGTTAGGCAAACCACCTGATGTAGATGCAGCTGCCATAAGTAGGGATTGCTGTTGTGCTAGCATGGCAAGTTGCTGCTGATGAAGAGTATATGGTGTGGTTGTGTTGCCCTGCAAACATAAAAAGGGATCAGATCTACGTACATCACTACTAGCCACATTAGAATGGGAAAAAATATTCCCTCTGTCCCAAAATAAGTGTCCACTTTCAAAGCTGTTTGGTTGGTTTCTATTAAGTCCTGTATGGATAAAGTTGTCTGTGTGGATTAACTTGTCTGTATAGATTGAGAAGGTTATTGTTTGGGAGGGTTTCTTCACAGATGGAATGAACATGTTCTTTAGTTGAGAGAGAGGTTTGGAAAAAACTTGGCTTTCTGCATAAAGCTCCCCCTAGAAGCTTATTGAATAAACCATTACCAAATAGTCATATGTAGCTAACCAAATAAGCTCCAAGTCCTAATAAGCTCATTAAGCTGCTAACAAACAATCCCTAAGTCCTGTATGGATAAATCTGTCTGTGTGGATTAATTTGTCTATATTAGGAAGGTTTTTGTTTAGAAGGGTTTTTCATAGATGGAAGGAGCATGTCTTTTAATTAGGAGGGGCAGTTTTGGGAAAAACTTGGCTTTCTGCATAAAGCTTCCGCCTAAAAGCTTATTGAATAAGCCACTTTCTATATCATTAAGCTACTACCAAACAGTCTGAATAAACTACGTCCCATTAAGCTGCTAACAAACAGCCCCTAAGTGTCTACTTCCCAATTCTACACTTAATTATGAGATGGAGAAATTCATTACCCTCTCTATTATCAAGGGTAAAACTGTCATTTAGTTCATTAAAAAGTGTAATAATTACACATTTATAAAATTGTGTGCGTTTTTTCATCGACATTTATTTTGGGACGGAGGCAGTGATATTTCACGCCTTGAAGAGAAAGTGGGCGACATCCTCGATTCCTATATGCATTTGAATTCATTTTGATAGTTTGATTACTACATGAATATATTGATTACCGAGTAAAAACGTCCAGGTAAAAATCCATGACGATTAAATGGTGAAAAATACAACCTAATTGAAGCCAAATCATCCAAGAGATTCACAAAGGGGCAGAAATAGACAGCACGTTTATTCTATTAACTATACCTTCTCAAAAAGGCTCAGAATATCACTTTTAACATCCTTCTGAGGCTTATCTGATGCATTAGGTTGTGAGATTGGAGGTGAATCTTTAAACAAATCATCAATTTCAGAAGTGGACTTGGCCTTATTATCTACAGGTTCCGAAGGGCCTGTTGTCTCCGAAGATGAATTTTCTCCAACAGCTGCAAGATTATGAAATGGAATGTTAATGGTATAGTGCATTGCAACATGATGAGTGTAGATGATAATAAAAAGTAAAAAATAAAAAAAATGTATCACCACTCCACTGTGAAAGAGATAAACCCCTTCACCCTATATCATCTGTCTACATTTCCATTTATCCAGGTCGTCCCATATTATTAAACTTATTTCATCTAAAAAAGACTGTCATGCCAAACTCTTAAATTGCCCCATAACTAAAAAAGCTAAAAAGCAACAAGGCCCTGATAAGATCAATGAAGAACAGAAAGGTATTCGATGAAGTTAGTTAGAAGTGAAAGATGTCTTTTTTTCCAAGCCTGTCTCTACGGAAGATACTTAATGTGCGACATAGGTAGAAGTAATGATAACAAAAGAGAGCTACTATTATTTGCTATGAGGTAAGTTCAAATGAGAACCATAAATATTTTGAGAACCAACTATTTCATGTATTATTCATGATGAATAACCATGAAAATCATGAATAACCATGAAAATCGTGTTATTCATTTAAATATCATGCATTTTTATCATGAATATCATGTATTTGCATTATGCATAATTATTATCATGAACGTCTATCAAGACCTTCATCATGAATAAAACATGAATTGTTTGTTCCCAGGTTCTCAAAATATTTACGGTTCTCTTTGAACCTGCCCCTACTTGCTACAACTCATAATTGCATCTAGGATAACTGAGCACATACTTTGGAATCCTGCCCATAAATTATCATCCGTTGGAGCTGCTTCTGAACCATTCTCAGCAGGACCATCCTCCATAGAAAGCATGTCGAAAAGATCAGTAGCAACATCAACTTTAGGAGGAGAGACAGCTTCAGCAACCTCCTTTGTCGTCTCAGCCTCAGCTTTCCGTATCACCTGTCAAAAAAATTCAAGTATCTGTTTGTAAGTCGATCTATAGGACCCTTGGTCATAAAATAGCTTACTAGAGGGATGAAAGGCGTATCAACCACAAGAGTAATCAAATAGGATCATACAAGAAACTCTTTCTTCATATAAACTAGTCCAACAGCACATACAACCGAACCAAATTGTAGGAAATTCTAGGAAATGCTGTCTAAGATTTCACTAGTGTCATATTTCAAACAACAGGTATCAGGAAAGTAACTGTTCACAACCGTACGATCATTCAACCGTATTATAAATGTTTGTTTCCAACCTGCAGGAAGCTTAACGGAGTATGTCTCACATTCTAACAAATGACAAAAATATATGTTTTGTCTATTTCCCTAGGCAGAGCTTTATGTTGGAACATAGCATCCACAGAACAGTGGCCACACCGAGTAGTCTAGCTCACATTACATTACGTCAATAAAAAACACGTCCATCATCTCATGTGTGAGCCACATTGAACACTATTATGCAAATGCAACTTCATCTTGAAAATTAGAACATTGCATCCCCACAACAGTGACAACAACTAAGTAGTCTGGTTCACACCATATTATCTCCAGATAATAACACATCTGGCAGTCAAATACACCAACAAAGATACGAATCATACGATAAGTGACCTAGTTGAACACTCTAATATACTAAATGCTACTTCATCTTGAAAACAGATGGATATCCAACTAACGAGATCTTTTGGGTTATGGCATCACGGTAATTTTATGCTTAATTCATTCTTGTTAAAATATTGAATCTTGGTTCAGCTAGTATCAAATTTTCATGATTCAAAAGAAAAAGGATGACCTGTAAGCAGATGCTGGTAACCCATAGCCAACCATACAACTTTAATTGCTTTTTGAAACTTTCCTAGATTCTACACCCCCACCCCCTATGTGACCATAATAAAAATTTGGGTAGACGTAGAAGGTTGACAGTGTCAAGATAATGTAAACTTAACATACAGGTTCAGATCCTTTCGGAGGCACAGGAAGACCGGTTTTTGTAGCAGGGATGTTGCTCTTTGTACTACCGGTTTTTGTAGCATGGATGTTGCTCTTTGTACCATGTGCCTGAAAGCTCTTCTTTTCTTCAGACGGACTTTCAAAATAGCTGGTGCCTCCAGATCTTTCAGCAGGTCTCTGCCACTGTGTAGGAGCTTTATTTTCTTGCAACCTAGAAGGTGAATTCGGTATTCCATCTCTAGCAACCCATCTCTTTTCTTCATACCTTGGACAAAAGCAACAGATATAGGCAGTTAGTGAATGAAGAATATTGGTGTATCACGTTACATCCAAAAGGAAATGTTCTTGGCAGTAACAGAGTGACTTATACTTTGCCCGAATGAAATTCTCAATGCCAACTCTGTCATAGTTTGGAGGTAGTTCTGCTTCCCAGTAACTATTTGATTTCACATTTCCCATTGCTGAATACACAATGAAAGCAAATCTATGAAACATAATTCTTACTCTTATTCAACATATTCACGAAAAATGCCTGAAATTCAAGAAATTGAGCTTACACTGGATAAATGCAACTTGTTCAGGAAGCCATGTGTCCAGTGTAGCAGATCTCACCTGCATTGGTATTTATTAGCAATAAATACAAAGGGACAGACTCTTGTTTATCAAGAATGTATTGCTAGAAAATTAGGAATGTACTCAAAAGGAGGAAGGATGTAAAAGCAAGCACGAAGAACTAATGCCAAATCGTCTGGGGTCAGGGCACAAAACACCATTCAAGGTGTCGAAAAACATATTTGTCTGCGTAACAATATGGGCTGGGTGTTGAGGTAGTTCATAGGCCTAACTATGGGACTGTTTGGTTGGTTTTTCATTAAGTCCTGTATGGACAAAGCCATCTGTGTGGATTAACTGCCTGTATAGATTGAAAATGTTTTTGTTTAGAAGGGCTTTTTCATAGATGGAAGAAGCGTGTCTTTTAATTGAGAGGGACAGGTTTGGAAAAAATTGGCTTTCAGCATAAAGCTCTCTCCTAAAAGCTCACCTAATAAACCACTTTCTATATCATTAAGCCAGTACCAAACAGTCATATATAGCTGACCAAATAAGGTGCGACCGTGCGAGTCCCATTAAGCTCATAATGAGCCCTATTGTGCAGTTTAAAATGAAAGCATCAGGATTGTGGTTACGCAGTTAGGCTTATGCTGATAGACTACGTCTACAAGGGCTGTGTTAAACAGCAATTTGATACCTTCTTAAAATTAAAATATGACAAGTGTCAGATAAAACATGTGATAGACATACTCAAATGTTTGATGTATTATGTATATTCATATCCAGATCCTATGTATGCATATACATTATACAGGGTTAAAGGTACAGTAAATCTGTGATGAACAGTGACATTCGGTTTTCAAGATAAAGAAGATAGTTACCATTGCTGCCAAATACTAATCAATCTAATAATTATTTATTTACTTGAAATAATTCAAGTAGTATCCAAATAGGCATTATTCGAGAAACACTCGAGGAATCAAGTGTAAGTCACTGAATGACCTAGCCTCGACTGCTGATCGACAACCCTGCAAAATATTGAACGATAGAAAGCTACAAAACACCATAAAATGAAAATGGCATGTAATCACTTATCTTACTTTATATTTTATGTATGTTACTTCAAATGGAAGTTATAAACAACTATAGAGGTTGATGAAAATAACATAGACATCGAACATTGATACCATTTTTATAATTCTACGCAATACATCTACATACAATATTAGTTGATGCAGGATTAAGAAATAATCAGATTATCACCTTCGATATGTGGACTCCAAGGCTTCTGTGGATTCCAGAACATTGCATGCATATAAAGATGCCTAGATTCACACTAGCCCATCGGGGACCTCTGCCAAGAGAAAGGCCAGCATTAGCAGTGACATACAGAAATAGCTTGACAATCACCCACTGACTGAATATGATGTATCATAAATGGATCACGTACTTAGCTTTGCAATCAGCACATTCCCTATTCTCTGGCAATTTAAGAAGCCCTTCCAGTATCTGTTGACAAGCATCGTATAAATATTGACTGGTATGAGGCATAAAAGATTACTAGAACAACAAGATGTAAAAAAGATGAAATGTGAAGTACAGAACAAGGGGATGGGATAACAAGATAGAGAGAATATATACATGAGAAAAGAAAAAAGGAAAAAAAGCTAAAGATTTTGAATCAAGAAACTTCGTAAATTTTGATAAGAGAATGGCTAATTTGATAGGGAAAAATACAGAAAGAAAATTTCTTTTTATTAGCAAGTTTGTATATGAAGGCCTCACTTGAAAAATTTAGCCCTGCAACTCTAAACATTAAGCACCAAAACAGTCTGTAGCTTCATTGACCAATCCCTTCTTTTAACACCAAAATGCAATTCATTGCTTCTCATACAAAGTGCATACCTCAGATAAAAATCCTATGCAAAAAAGCAAGGGATTGGCAAAATCACATTGAAATAACGTTCTTATTCAGTTAATATTTGCAGAAGGTATCTACCTAAACCCACATTGGCATGCCAAAACGTAGTGAAATAACGCTACTCCCTGCCGCCCTACCCATTTACTCAATTATGCCTATTGACCCACCATTCTCTTGTGAAATGATAAAACGAATGCGAGAAGGGCGAGTAGCTTATCTAACCAATTAGAGTTTAGGAGTAGCTTATCCAACCAATTAGATATCTACCGAATGAGCTTTTAATGTCTTACCTCAATTAAATAAACTTCCTCTGTTCCTAGTATATTCTCTTATGTAGACTAGTTTCCATTGGTTCATTATTCAAGATTATAGCAAAAATATGGCCTGCTTGTCCAACCAAGTTTCCCTTCTGATTGAAAACCCAATTTCCTGTCGAGCTAAAGTGATTTCTAACAAATTTCTAGGTGCAAATAGAAATGTAGAGAAATCAAATCAATACAAACATATGCCTAGCTTAGGGTTGGTGGATTAAGATTATTGATCATGCAACAAAAGCAACCAATCTGGCCATCTCAATAACATGCCAACATAAAACTCCATTAATTCGGCATCCTTTTAAACACAACACAAGTATCAAATCACATTCAACCCGTAGAGCTTAGCTATCTTAATTCTTACTGTCGTTATATAATATCTAAAATCATGTTTAAGGAACATGCAGATCTTCGAAGTTATCACACATCAATGTCTTCAAAAATTAAGCCAAGGATTAATTTAGCTTATCACATATCAACAACGATGATATCAATACGCCAATCGTAATCCACAAAATCGGTCATCAATCCAGAATATAAAAAGTAATATGAAATGAAAAACAGACTTTTCTGTGCCTGGCATTAAGCTCTTTGGATACGTTGGCCTTCTCGTTCATATTTTCCGGCACATAAACGGAAAATTATCAAATTCCGGCGACGATGAAAGAGATCGGATTCAGGAATTTGTGGGGGTTTGATTTCCCTTTTCCCGTTTCGTTCTGTTTTCTTACGGGACGGGAACGTGTGAAGGGATTTTTGCGGGTCGGGTGGGAGGTTGCCGTGGGTGCATTATGCGTGTCCCATGGGTCCACGCGTGTTCTCCATTTTCTATCATCTGGTGCTCAAAAACTCCAACAATCCAACTAACCCGGTCGACTCAAATTAAGGGGATGTTTGTAATTGCTTATAAAAATAACTTATTGACTTATTTCGGTATGACATCGGTAATAAGCATTTTTGAATGTTTTGATAAACAACTTATACTGGTGTCAAACCGGTAATAAAGAGTTTTTGAAGAAGTTAAACTCTTATGACTTTTAATAAGTTGATAAGTGTTTTTGTAGAAAAACATAAGTTGTTTCAAATAAACAATCTCAAACACCCCCTAATACGAAATAACCTGATAATTAAGTTATAAATATTTTAAACCGCGTGTATTGGGTTGGAACCGGTTATGGTCACTTGAAACCAACCAACTCGATATCCATTTATTTATTGAATTTAATATGATTGTTAAGTCTCTATGAATATGTACACCAGATAATTACATCATCATGAACCTTCTTTATATATGTATATTTTTCAGTTTCTTTTTCATCTCAATATAACTTCTTACTATATATGTTCAGTAAATATGAACATATATATAAAATTTGAGAAAAATTGTTGAATATGATATACTTACAAGGAGTATGGATAAACTATACCAAAAGATTGATGATGAAAAAAGAATTATGAGTAGATAAAACAATCTATTCAAGATAACAATAATATTTTGATGTATCAAAGTATCAACCCGATCAACTTACACGGCTGAGTTGGGGTTGGGTTGCACTTTGGTTTGGTTTTGGTTTTTGGTTGGGTTGAGATTTTTCAAACTATAAATGGATTGGGTTGTGGAAATGTCTTCAACTCGATCAACCCAACTCATAAGCACCCCTACTTCCAATTGTACATTTTTTGGTAAATCATGATTTTTGTCCCTGTGGTTTGTTAATTATTTTTATTTTTGTGGTTTAGAAATTGCTTTCATCTTTATAGCATAACATCTCAAGCTAACGTACCAGATATTGTCTGTTTTTGTCTACACACCTGAACTCACGATTTTAAAACGTGTTTATTAAAGAAGGTATAAGTCTCTTATAAGGCAACATTTGTTCCCCTCTCTAATCAATGTAAGATCTTACAGTCCATCCCCTTGGGAGCCCAACGTCCTCACTGCACACCAGTCTAGTTTTGGTACTAGCCATAACATCTCATACTGATTGTATCATATATTGTCCATTTTGTCCATACACTTGAACACACGATTTTTAAAACACAATTAATAAAAGGAGATATCAAGTCTCTTATAAGGTGGTTGTTGTTCCCTCCCCAGTCAACGTGGGATCTTACATATGGTTTGCAATTTATTGTTATTTTCGTCCCTGAACTAATTCCTATATTTACAAATAGTCCTCGAGGTTTGTTTAAACTTTGGTTTTTCATCACTAACTTTTCAAGGTTCTTTTTTTGTTGCAGTTTTCATTCTCGAACGTTACACATGTTTAAGGAACAATTGTTGAGATTAAGAAGTTGTTTATCAAACACTTAGCTGGTAAGCCTTTATTGGATCACTTATCTTACTAGGTGAACATAATAGTGACCAATAATTTTATCTGGTAAGAAGCAAGAAAATCATCGAGAGTCTTACCTATAAATAAGGGTGGTGAATCTTACCAGGTAAGCTTTTACCAACTGTACACTTTGATGACTGAAAATGTTTACCTGATAAGGTAAGTAAGGGGCTGTTTGGATCATGGGAATTTGATGGAATTGAAAGGAATTGGAATGTCCAATCCTTTGACCAAATTCCAAATAGAGTGTTTGGTTCATGGAATAAAACTATGGAATCCTTTCAATTTCAATACAATATCCTCGGATTTCAATTCCCTTTCTACAAATTCATTCCTTAATCCAAATTCATTCAACGACGTCTACCATCTCATCTAATCGATTTCTGGTTCGATCTCCAATCTGGTACGTTTTCTCTCTCTCTCATAAACAAAATTCGATCTCCAATATGGTTCGATCTTCAATAGATCTCTGGTTCGATCCCTTATTGAATGGAATTAGGGCACCGATCACTTTTATAAACAAAATTCCGTTGTAAATTTTATCTGATGTTAATAATGTAATTTGGTTTAATGATAATTTTTAAATTTTTTTTAAATGACAAAAAAATCATAAAAGGTCATTTGTTGATATTTAATTCCGATTCCAAATCCGTGAACCAAACAAAAAAATTTCAATTCCGTCAAGAATTTCATTCCAATTCCATGCAACGAAACACAATCACAAGGCATGGTCAAATTCCATTAGATTTCATTTCATTCCCTCAAAGTCAAATTCATTTGATAAATTCCAATTCCATCGAATTCCATTATACGAACCAAACGCCCCCTAAGAGTAATAACTCTTGTTGATAAGTATTTGGATAACGTCCCTAACTGTCCTTTATACACCCTTTCTGATAAAACAATTGTCCACTCATAAAACCACCTAAATTATTACATCCATCTGCCATTAGATTGAATTCTACCTTAATTAGAAGATTCGGGATTCGACTTTCCTAATTTCATGTACATAAGATCGAGTTCATCACGATTTCCAAACAAACATACTTCCAAAGTAGAGGTGATCATTTGCGGGTTTGTGTTGGGCTCGGACCGGGCTTAACTTGTTTTTTTGTTCAACGAGCCTAATATGTAAATCCAAGCCCTTTCTTCGAGCTTAACAACTTGTCATTACCCGCCCTATAAATGGGCCGGGATTGGGCACAAGCTAATGGACCTAAAAAGCGTAACTTTTATAAGTCTATAAATTTGATCACTAACAATTAATTAACAAATGTGGAACCAAAAAGTAAAGTAAAAACACCGTTGCACTTAAAATCTTAAGCAACTAAAGTGACACATGAATCTCAAAAGTAGAGAAATAAATAAAAAATGAAATTCAGAATTCCATAAATTTAATAATGCATTTCTATTTTTTATGTATAACATTAATATTCACGTAAAAAAAGTAAACAAACAACCCCTTAGTCTTTTGGGTTCTCAAGAATAACCAAAGAGTCTCATTATATAACTTTAATAATTTAATTTAAAAATATAATAGTATAATTTTAATTAATGGCAAAAAAATATTAATTATAAAAAATAAATTTATAAATCCGAGTCCGTCCATATATATTTTTACATTGTCCATGTCCGTCCGTTAATTTTAACGAACAAATCCGAGTCTGTCCATTATCTCGATAATGGTTGTCCAAGTTTGATTTTTCTAACGGGTCGGGTGAACTAGGTCTAACGGGTCGTTTTAATGGGCTCTCTCTTGTATAATTAACTCTTCAATAGATAATTGTTAGAGCATCACTCTAACACATTTTCAAAAATTAAGATTTTTGTTCCACTAGATTTTCTAAAACCTTCTGTAAATTGAAGAAAATAGGATAGAAAAAATAAAATTAAAGAGATATTCAAATAATAAAATTGAAATTAATGTAGAAAAAACTAATATTTTATGTAATATACTGTATATTTTAATAAAGGTAAATTGCATGAAAAAGTAAAGTATTTAAACTTGATTCTTATTACGTGTAACGTACTTTCAAAACTTCTATTTTGATATGTAAGATATAAAGTTTTAAACATTTAGGAACCTGGTTGAAACATTAACCGGTTATATACTGATATGAGGAGTGATTTGACTTATCTTTTGAATTTAAAATTCAATAAAATTTTATACCGACTTGAGTTGGATAATACATCACTCGCCACACCAACATGGTAACCGGTTAATATTTCAATCAATTACTCGGATTGATGGCAAAAAACCGGTCGCGGTCCGGGCCGATCCCAATCGGTCCCAATATTTCTCATAACCGTCCCCCGTCCCGATGGAAAAAGCTGAGTCCGATCAAGCTTTATTGTAACCGGTTATGGGTCGTCGGTCCCGGTCATTAAAAAATACTTTTTTTATTTTTATTTTTTAATGATATATATTTTTAATACATTATAAAATTTGTAATTGGGTCAAATACACTTTAAAAATGCGTTTTATTATAATAAAATTACACTATCTTACAAAATATAGCGATAAACCGATAATTGTAAACATTTTTTTGCGTTTTTTACGAATCGAGAACTTGGTATGTAAATCCCTTATCCAAGACACTTATATATAGTGTTTAGAAAGCAAAAAATACAAAAAATGGCCAAAACGACTACATTTTAAAAATATAGCTACATTTTTTAAAAATCGGGCCGGTCCATAACCAGTCCCGGGCCCACGAAACACCCCAAATCTATAACCAATCTCAGATTTCGGTCATATAACCGGTCCTTACCGGTCCCAAGCCAGTTTGGCCATCCGTCGAATACTTAAATGCTTAAATCAAAATAAAAGTTTTAAAAGTACAGCATCAAAATAAAAATCAATTTAAAATACCTACAATTTATCGATTATAATAATAATCGTCGGAGATAAAAGAGATTTTGGGATTAATTCAAGAACAGCAAAACCAGAAATTGCCAAAAGCCAAATCGAAAGTTCTTATCGAGTTCATCAGAATCAAAAAGCAGTCGTAAGTTGTTCATCCCTCCTCTGAATATGTATGTTCTCTCTTTTAAAACCTAAATTTTGATACCTGCTTTTGATTTACATTTCAAACCCTAATTTCAACACTTTGTTCTGATTCACGCTTTAATCCCTAGTTTTTATTTACAATATAATCTGCAGTTACTTAGCTATAGATTCAGGAATGGAACAATTCAATCTTCTCGAGGGCAGTGGTTCCTTTAATGATCCTACCATACAGAGTGTTCACAGGACTCAGGAGGTCAAAAATGGAGGAAAACAAACTGGATGCCAGGATAAGATGACCGCAGTTCATGAAGAAATTAAGAAAGTGAACCAACTTCCTGCACACAGCACTTACGCAACTCATCGTATGCGGGTTCTCAACAAAATCCTGCAGCTTTTATCTGTTCAGGTATGGATTAAGAGTTGTTCTTTTTAAGTTTTTGATTACTGAGATGACTAGATGATGAGATGAACGTGTGAACTGATGATCTTGGGCAATCTTTAATGAACTGGTAAAATAACTTTGCAGTAGTTCATAAATCATGTTTAGCTTTTTAGAACTTGATTTCTCTGATATATTTTGAGCAAAGCCATGAAGTGTAATGATCATTATTCATTTAGATGGGAAGAGAAAACTAAATTCGTACAACTTTCATATATATGGTGGTATCGAGTTCAGTAATTTTGTTTTGTAGTTTCTTGAGTTGAATTCCAGTGCCCCTACGTAAGATCTTGATTCATACATGTATCATGCTCTTGGATTTTGAGAACAACTTCAAATTCTAGCATAATATTCAAGTGGTTTCTGCTAATCAACCCTCACGATCAACTTAATAACTATCTTTTTTCAGCATAACTTGAAAGCCCCCCCTTGCCGGATAATGAACCTTGAATGTTTAACATGTGGGTGAGAGATGTAAGAATTTTACTCTTCAAAGAGTGAAGGATTTTGGACAAATTTTGGATGGGAGGAATTGAATTTTCGAACAATTGGACTTGGGTTTTCGATGCAAACTAGCCATTAATTTTGCAGAAAAGCCAAAAACAAGAAACACTATGGTTTATAAGAATGAGTATTTGCAAAACAAATTGTGGATGTGAGTGACTGACTTGAAATCATCTTACTTGTCTTTCTAATACAGTCTGGACATTGTTCTTGTGAACATGGCGGTAGCTTGTAAATGGGCCATTTTGGAGAAATTGTGGAAATATATAAACAAAAAAAATCATTGTACTTGGACTTTTTGTACAAAATTACCAATTCCTGTAGAATGTAGTGTCTTATTTTCAAGAACCATGGTTTGTTTGTATTTTGTAACTGTAAGTCAAATATATAAGCAAACAGTGAATCCACGGGTATTTGAATCCCGAGTGAGTATCCATGGAAAAGCAGAATATTTGATTGAAGAACGAGTTGGTTGGAAATGCGAATCACTCCTGATATCTATACTCATTTTAACTGTCATCGCTCATCAGATAACTCAACGAGCCTATAATTTTGTAGAGCTAATTAGTCCTCTCTCCCCTCAGATTTTTACTAGCATTTTTCAGAAAACTCAACGAGTTTTGACTGTTCTAGAAAAAAGTGTGCATTTGCTTAGTTAGATTAAGCTGTACGATTGTAATAACCTACTCGTTGGGATATAGGCCAGGTCTGCATGAGTCTCGCCCCTCTCCCTGACCCAACTTTTGAGTGGGATTTACTGTTTATTAAGATCTACGAATGCATGGAATTGACAAATGTTTTTCTTTTCTTTTCCTGAATCCAGAGGACTACATCACAAGATGAGGAGCTAGAGTTGCTTTTTGCAGGGCTCTCGATTTGAAGTTCTGAACGTACTTGTGGATTTCCTGACCATCGGTGTGTTACCCAAAACTGCCTTGTGTTACATTTACACTTGTTTCATAACATGTCTGCAATCATGATTCACTTCTGCTTTATCTGGTTCACATAACTCGCAGCGTAGGTTTAAATGTCAAGTTCACTTGTACAGGTTATGCAGATTGAGTTGAAGTTATGAAGGTTAAATACTTATATGTGGTAATAACTATTTGCTTACATCTATAGGTGTTACTAGAATTCTAATATTATATCTTGTGCATTTTCAGTAATCAGTAGCAATCATCTATCTTCAATCTATTGAATATTCACATGATATAATATGAATATTATCATAAAAAACAAACCAAATGAATTCAATATATCTCACTCGAAAGTAGGGTTTGTGACTTGGGAAGATGGTATATATGCAAACTTGTCTTTTACCCAAAGGGTAGAGTGGTTTTTTCTGTGAAGATCTTGGCTTGCGGGAAAGTGTGAACTGCATAGTGCTGACTGGTGCTAACTTCAGTCAGCATGACTAACTTGATGAACATCAACTACTTTACCTAAGGACTGATTTGACTGAAGGTGTTGACCTAGCACCTACCGAGTCGGCATTATTATTTGACTTATTGGGTTAGCACAAGGTATTTCATCAGTAATCAGTAAGAACTTACTACAAAACACTTTTGTTTGGTTCATATAAAGGATTTCAAGGGATTCGAATGATTAATTCCTTTGACCAATTTCCAATTCCTTTGTTTGGTTCACATATTGAAATGTAGGAATCATTTAAATTTTATTGAATCCCTTGGCTTAGAGATTTGACCATTCCATTGGATATCCCAAAGATACCAATTCCTTTAACAATTCCGTCGAACCAAACACATGGTCAAATTCTATTCCAATTCCTTCAACGTCAAATTCCTTTGATGAATTCCAATTGCACTAAATTCCATCCTGTTAACCAAACGCCCATAGTAAACAACCATTTTCAGTCGGCACTTAGGGGCTGTTTACCCAATGCTTTCCCGGTAAGCGGTTATGGGTAAGAATCAACACTTTCATCTAACTTACTAGGTAAGATTTAGTCCATTAAAATGACATCGTATGCAACATTTTTATCCGGTTACCGGGTGAGACTCTAGGTCCTTGTCATTGTTCTTACCAGGTAAGATTCTCAATCCTTGATATGTTCATTCCTATAAGGTAAAGTTACCGGATAAGCGTTTAATAAACGGCCCCTTACACAGACCAAACCTCTTACCCAGATCATACTCGTACCCAATTAGCACTTACCCAATTTGTGTCGGTAAACGGCCCCCAAGACTAGCAACAACCGTGACTATAAATCCTAAAAGTAGTTGATATAGTTTGAAATTTGACTTATGGTGATCCTTATGGTTTATGAAGAGGGTTTGTTATGTGTTGAGTGATTGAATTGCAGGTGGGCACAAGGGTCTTTTCTTGCTAAAAAATCTTGTGGATGGAGGACTCAAAAGTAAGGCACATTGGTGACAGTATGATGTAGCTCTCTCTCTATGTACAATGTACATGTCAATCTTGATCATCTTTGTTTTGGTGTATTCTTATTTTTCGTGTTCGATTAGCGAAAATAAAAATATGCAGGATCGTGTACGGAATTTCTAACAAATACTTTTTGTTTTATATAATATACTTGTGTGTATTTATGCGTGCTTGTCGTTTATTTGGTCAAGAGTTCTTGTTATCTCCTTTTTGAAGGAAAAAAATGATTCCTAGCAACCTCGATTGGTCCCACATGGGACCCATCGTATAGGAACCACATGTGAAGAGACATTTCAAAGTTGACTCATCAACTAAAGTTAACGAAGGGGATCAAGCTTGTCTCCTAGAGGATTCGATCATTCAACTATATACCATATCATAAAGCATTTGGTTAAACACTTAAAAACCATTTTTAATGCATCATGTACTGTTTAATGATTCATAATACTTAAATTTCAAGATTACAAGTAAGTGATGTATGAATATAACTTTTTAAAGTCAAATGTTTAGATTCATGTAACTAACCGATAAATATAATCAAATATATTTAGGATAATCATAAGTTTTAACAGAATACTTAATAATTATCTTTATAAAAAAATTATATTATTAAATTTAAAATAAATTACTTCGTTATTAAACCTTAGGTATAATAAAAAAAGTTTAACTGAAAATTATATTTATGACATTATTAAACTTAAATTAAATTATAAAAAAGATTGAACTAAAAAAATATGCACTTTATACTGATATCGATATATGCTTTTCAAAATTTTATGGGGTCTTCAAGTTATATCTATACTATATTATAAAGTATTTGACAAAAACTTTAAAAAACTATTTTTTATGTACTGTTTATTGATGCATATTACTTAAAATTTAAGAATTAAGATTACAAGTAAATTATGCATAAATACAACTTATTAGAGCTCCATATTTGAATTCGTGTAACTAACTGCAAATAAACATAATCAAATATTGGATAAACATCTCATTTTAAATATAAAAAATCTAAAATATAATCAAGATAATCATTGAGTTCTATAAAAATAATTAGTTATTATCTTCAGAAAAAATTATATTATTAAATCTAAATTAATTTTTTTTTACTAAACATAAATTAAATTATAATAAAAAAATTGAATTAAGAAAATTACACCAAAACACAAAAACTTAAAAAAATAATAATTTGATATTGATATTGATATATTTTTATCAAAATTTTATGATATTTTCAAATTTATATTTTATTCAAAAATAAAAACATTATCGCTTTCTCAAAACCATATAAAATGAAATCAAGATATGTCTTGATACATTGCACGAGTATTCTTCTAATTTTATTTAAATAAAAATATATTATCGATTTCTTAAAACAATACAAAACCATATTATAAACCCGAGAGACGTAAGATAAATAAAGTCGTAATAAATGCACCATAAATTTTGGATTTTTCCTTTTAAAAAGGATTTGTATTAGTTGTACATCCAATAAAAAGTTAATGTTTAAGAGTAAACTACATCTTTCAACCCTACGGTTTTCAAAAATTGCAACTTTTATCCTTATCTTTTCAAATTACGGCCTTTATTCACGTGGTTTGCAATTCGTTATCGTTTTCATCTTTGAGATTAACTTCATTAGCGATTTACCGTTAACTATGAGGGACAAAAACAACAATGAATTATCAACACATAGACAAAAAGAACAATAAATAGCAATCCACAAGTTGGGGTGTTCATGTGTTGGATTAATCGGGTTGAAAGTATTTGAATAGCCCCAATCCAATGTCTACGGTTTGAAAAATCTTAATCCAACCCAAAACCGTATGGGTTAGTGTGCTTGATACTTTGGTACATCAAAATATTTTTATATGTTTGTACGTTGAATATGTTGTTTTCTCTACTCATAATTCTTTTTTTTATCATCAATCATTTGATACAACTTATCCATACTCATTCTTAAGTATATCGCATTCCACTATTTTTCTCAATTTAGATATATATGTTCACATTTACTGAACATACATATAAAGAAGCTATATAGAAATGGAGAAGAGGTTGAAAATATATGTATATAAAGAGGGTACGTGATGGTGTAATTGTCTAATGTACATACTAATAAGGGAAAATTGCACCAAAATGGAACCAACTTTCACCTAATTCCTATTTTGGGGAACCATCTTTCAAAATCGTCATTTTGGGGAACCAACTTGCACCTGATTCCTATTTTGGAAACCAACTTGCAAAATCATTATAGAAAAATAACTAAAGTTTGTTTTTTTCCAAAAATTAATGCAAAAAAATCTATTTTCATTTTAAATCTCGTCTTTTTTAATTCAGATATCAAATTGAACATTTAAAAAAAATATCCAAATTACCACAATAAAAAATATTTTTTACTAATGCAAAAAATTAATTTAATAGAAAAAAATTAATTATGCAAAAGATTTTTATATCTAACAAATCCGTATCAATTAATTTTTTTCTATTAAATTGATTTTTTTGCATTAGTAAAAAATAATTTTTAGTGTGGTAATTTAGATTTTTTTTTTTAAATGTTCAATTTGGTATCTGAATTTAAAAAAAACGAGATTTAAAATGAAAAATAGATTTTATTGCATTAATTTTTCGGAAAAAAACGAATTTTAGTTATTTTTCTATAATTATTTTGCAAGTTGGTTCCCCAAAATAGGAATCAGGTGCAAGTTGGTTCCCCAAAATGACGATTTTGAAAGTTGGTTCCTTAAAATAAGAATTAGGTGAAAGTTGGTTCCATTTTGATGCAATTTTCCCACTAATAAAGACTTAACAATCATATTAAATTCAAGAAATAAAAATATATCAAGTTTAAATGATCGTAACCCAATTCTAATCCAATACCGGTGGTTTGAAGATTTTACAACTCGATTGAACACCAGGTTGCTTTGGGTTGGGTTTTTTTCGCTTGAGTTGAGTTGGTCGGGTTTTTGAGCATCCCTTATCCGCAAAGACGAAAATCATAATTTAAAAAATGCAGGGACTAAAATAACAAATTTTAAAAAACCACAGGGACTAAAATAACAAATTTTAAAAAACCACAAAACAAAGCCTGAAACTGCGAGTGGCTTCTGCAATCTTAACCACTGACCAAGGATAGGGAAGAACCACCCACTCCAATACGGAAACCAGACGACGGAACTCGATAATCCCTTCAAAATCGACGTTAATGGGTATCTGGGATGATCTCAGATCGGTCGCCTTCAAATTTATCAATCGGAGCACTTCACACAAGTCCTCCGATTCAACTACAATTTCACGAATCGAATCCATGCCTGATCCCGATCGCAGGGAGACCATAACTCGGGTTCTAACCGGATTCAGCAAGTTCGCCGTCGATTCTGCTGTTAATGAGTCTCTTAAAGGTTAGATTTCCCTCGCTAAGGTTACATACGTGATCTCCTTCATGCTACCGAATCGGAATTGGTGTTGTTTTACAAAAAAATTGGAGCTCAGAAGTTTGGGCTTTAATTTTCTTTCAGATTCATGCTTTAGAATATAAGAAAACCCTTCAATGCATTAATCAACAATTCCTTTCAATGATCGAATTCGATTTTAGGTTTTTTTGTGGATTAGTAATTTACGAGTTTCACGATATCAATTTGGGTCCTTTATAGGGTTCTTACTACGATTCAATTATATTTAGGGAGCGTATTTGGTTTATGGTATAGACTTCATGAGGGAGGTTCAGGGAACCAAAAAAAAGATCGAGGAACACCCTGTATGCACATATGCATACAACTAATTGAAGTTTGTTTCTTGGTTTCTATGCATCTTATGCACATGTGCATACCGGACAAATTGCTTACAAATTACTTGTATGCACATGTGCATAACATCCGGATAAATGGTTGGCAGATGATCAGTTTTTCAATTTTTTTACAGTTTCCCTCAGAACTGACCGTAGACTCCATAATTATAAGCATAAATGGAACAGCTTATTGAAATTTCAACTGCATCATACTGTTTCTGGTTATGTGAAGGTGGGTTACAACTATATAAGATAGCTAAGGAAGGAATGAAGGATCAAGAAGCAACAAATCTGAACAATAAGCCGCGGCATACACTAATGATGGAGGAGATGCAGGCTCGGATGGAGAAAATGGAGGAAGATTTGCATATTATAAGGCTAGATGATGAAGATTCAATCTTATGTGCCAAGGATTTGGATCCTCGTAAAGAGGAGTCGACTGAACCTACAGAAAAATCAGAAACTGATATCAAGAAGGTCTTTATTCGATCACGCTTATGAAGAACGAAAGCTGAATCTGGGGATTGTAAGGTAAGTATGCATTTGCCAAATACCTATATCTGTAGATTAGATTGTAACCTTTTGCAGTTTTGTTGCTGTTTTAAGTTGCATCTGGTGTGGATTGAACTCTAATGTTCCTCTTTGTGAATATATCTATTTGTGATATCTTCAAACTTCAAATTTGTTTTTATGGGAAAAGTAGAGGATGTAAACCATTAATAGTCATGGGTTGGGTTACAGTGAGAATGAAAGTTATTGGTGAGAAGGGTAAGAAGGGGTCTCCACCCTTGGATCAATCCTAGTTGAAGAGAACCACTAGATCAATACTAATGAGATACATTAGATCAATTCCCATTTTAGCGCAATTCATGGGTTGTTTTGGGATTAAAAGCGATCAAGGGTCCAAATCCCTTCTTACACTTCTCACCTTAACTCCTATTCTCACACGATCCTTCGTCTAATAGTCATTCCATAAAAGTCTATCAGCAATCAGCCAAATGGTGTAAAAGGGCCTAGATAAGTATACCAATTTAAAAGTTGTAGCAGAGCATGGAATAAACCAAACATTTTAACTCTGTGTCCATATATCTTAGAAGCAAAAGTAAATGTTGGCTGTTTGGTTGGTTTTCCATTAAGTTTTGTATGGATAAAGCTGTCTGTGTAGATTGTGTATAGATTGTGAAGGTTTTTGTTTGGTAGGGATGCTCATAGATGAAAGGAGTGTGCTTTTTAATTGAGAGGGGAAAGTTTGGAAAAAAACATGAAGTTCTTTCCTAGAAGCTTACTGAATAAGTCACTTTCTATATTATTAAGCCAGTACCAAACAGTCATATATAGCTGACCAAATAAGCTGTGAGTCTCATTAAGCTCATTAAGTTGCTAACGAACATACCCTTAGTCTTGCAGATATAGGATTAACACATGCTTCAATAAATAGGATCTCAATCACACTTCTTTTCTTTGACACCAACATCCTTATATGGAGCAGCAGTGTATGCATACTTGCATACATATGAAAGATTGAGAAAAAAACACCATCTCCATGATTACTTCACATTTTGCAGCACCCGCTGGATATATCTCTAGGGGTTCCATATATTCTCACATAGTATCAGAACCAAAGTTTACCGGACTCGACACCCAGGGGTAATCTTTACATGCTTAGCCCCCTTTTAACACTCTGAGACAATTTGTGCTCGTTTAGCCTCCATTGGAGAGGGCGTGTTAGAGTGTCATATCGGTTAGATTTGGACAATTTCTCCTCCATATATGTTGGAACCTCTATTATCTCTGTATGGGCTCTTTTGAAGCGAAAATCTAGGGGTTCCACATATTCACATAATATCAACCAAAAATAATGAGATTTTATTATACCCATCTCCACAAGACCACCAAATACAGTTCCCTGCAAATAAATTGATCTAATTCATTTGTTTATTGTATATTAATTTTGATAATCAACTAAATTTGCACATTTGATTAATACTCGTAGATGATTAAATTTGTTTGGTTCATCCGATATTTGGATCAATTATTTAATCATTTTTACCATATTCGTACATCCAGATGCAAATGCAAATATTACGTAAAATAATTACTTTCTCTATGCTTCAGTAGTAATTAAATTAGATTAAGTTGGTTTAAATATATTGGATTTTTATCTATCATTCAATTTTTCATCGATCGAGTCCAATCGGAACCATAACTCTTCTTTATTCAAATCGTTTACATTCGTGACTTCTGCTGTATTGCGCGAGTACACAACTAGTTTATCATTTAAGGAAAAAAATAAATTTAAACTTTACAATATTCCATTCAAATAATAGTTAGCATTTATAAAACTTTAAACTAAATAATAAATTAACTTTGAGAGAAACAAAACATAATTAAATAATTATTGGATTATATATGAAATTAAGTGTCATGCATGTTATTTGAGAGTTATTAGGAATATTGATAATGCAACAAGTGATAATCGACTTAGAAATAGCAATTTGTAAGTTATGTGAGACTTTTACCTGTCAAAAACAGTAAAATCGACCTAACAAAATGTCAATGAAACAGTTACATTCAAGATCACAGTAAATACTCAGCTTGTCCAATTAGGATATATGCCAATGAGGATGATTACAACAATCTGGCCAAAACATCATGAGCATAAACAGATATTGAATTCTCAGTTTTCAGCACTCATTTCTTAGCTAAAAAACTATACAAACATAAGCTTATGACACTCGGTTTTGATGTGTCAAAGCTTGTTTTGATGCCAACGGTTGGCGTATATGTTTTCTCATTTGATATGAGATGCACTTAGAATTACTTGGATTTGTTATTTATGGCATGATGAATTGGTTTTGAGTTGGTGATATATTAGTTTCTTTTTCTGTGAATAGTCTCATCAAAGGAATTAGTCAATGCTTTTGGCATTTGTTTTCAATTTTGATCAGATGTATTTAAAAGTAACTCTGGTTGTCATCTATGGTCTGATTCCATCAACACTGGCTTAAAAAGATATTAAATAGATTTAAACATACCAATTAATTTTGTATGTACTGCTGTGACAGTCTGATTGGTTCTATTGTTGATAAATTCACAACTAGATACATTTACCATTGTACTTTAATTACCCATTTTGCTTTAAAAATTATAATGTATACAGTTTTACGCTTGAAAAYAATTTATTCGACATTCAAATTGAAGTATAACAATCAATCAGAAAGAAACAAAATATTTCGTGGTGAAATATTCATGTGGGTATGTACGAGAATTTTGTATTTCAATTTCTGATAAAAAAAACTGAAAATTCTAGAGAAAGTTATGATAAAAAAAACTGAGTCGTCTATGTTTCCTTTTAGTTTTGCTTATCGTTCATCGACTATTTGCATACATCAAAACATATATCGGGTGTTCGAATATTATCGTGTTTTTTTTTACATTTTTAATTATATGATTTGATCAATATTATGCACGTTGTTCTAATTATATACAATTTCTTATTATATTATAAAGTATTTATCCATATTTTTAATTTTTAATTTGAAATTTACAATTTTATTATTATATGTATATATCTTTCTAAATCTATATGTAGGCATTGTTTGGCAAAGATAAGTTACCTTATAAGCTAGCTTATTTTCTAGGTAAATGTTTGGATGCACATAAGCTAGCTTACAAGCTGACTTATTCAAACGTTATTAGGAGTAGCGTTTTGGTAGTCTATTGTCACTTTTTCCAATTATAACTCCCATTAATATTAATTATAACTCTCATTAATATTAATTTTTATTTATTACAATTAATTATAAATAATTAATAAGAAATTAAAAATTAATAATAATAATAGTAAATATTAATTATTAATTATTAATTAATTTTTATTAGTTATGTAATACACATAAATATTATTTACGATAACTATTAATCATATCAATTATTTTCATATTACTATTTTTTAAATTATTATTCAATATATTTAGTTATCAAAATATAAATATAACAATTTTAACAATATTTATGTAATATAAAAATTAAACTTATACTTATTTTGTTTCATAGATAATAAAAATGTATTAATTAATTTGAATAAATTATTTAACTTAGATATTTAAATAAATAATTTAAAAAAAAATATTAACTAATTAAGATATGTGAGTAGACAATTTTTGTTTTTATTCATATTATATGTAATGGTTATTTAAAATTATAAATAATAGATTTTTCTAAAATTTGTTTTAACAAATCCAAATATTATAACATGTATAATAATCATTTGAAATTCTTTTACTCAATATATTTTATTTTTTTACCATCTTGTTTGTATTAGTTAATATATTATATTATTAAAGATTTGTTTCAATTATATTTTAAAATATTAATTGATTAATTTTTCAAGATGTCTTTTTTGGTTATTTTACATTCTATCAACTAGTTTTGCTAAACATGATTTGTTCATCAGTTAGGTTATCAGCTAACATCTAGCTTATAAGCTACCATTCAACTTATCAGCTTGTTCACCAAACATTGCCGGAGCATAACACAAGGGTCGTTTTAAGGATAAAACCGGCCTTAGACAAAAAATTGAAATATGCCTAATTTTTTGTTAGTTTTTTAAAATTCTATTTTTTTTTTTCGGTTTTGAGAGAAAACATCTTTCACATGATTTTTGTTTCACAAACATACTAAAAAGGTTCACATTGTGAAAGAATAACATATGAACAAACATATTGTGAAACAAATACATGTTAAACGATATTATAAATCAGTCTTGGATGAAAAGAAATCATATAAAATAACACATAATGTACTAGTTCTCAAGGTTATCACAATTAATAAGTTTTTAAAATAAAGTCCCTCTATATATGTAACGACATATAATAATATATATAATACAATATTATATATTACATATAATGACTGGTTCCGAGCAGACTCGTGGAGTTGCAGTTTGGATTATCATAGAAAGAATGAGAGGAGCGTTCTCTTTTTGTCATTCCTGCTGATGTATTAAAATAATATATAATACAATATATATATATATATATATATATATTATTGTAATATATTATATATATGGTATTAAAAAGTATATATTTATATCATATTATATAATACGAGAATATATTACATATATGCTATTAAATATATAATAAGAGAATATATTACATATATGGTATTAAAATATAATATAATACATTGTGTAACATATTAATAAAATATACTATAATATATATATATATATATATATATATCTGTATTTAATAAATGATAGAAATATCGATAATGCAAGAAGTGATAATCGACTTAGAAATAGCAATTTGTAAGTTATGTGAGACTTCTACCTGTCAAAAACAGTAAAAGCAACCCCTTAATAAAATGCTAACGAAACATTTACATTCAAGATCATAGTAAATACTCGGCTTAAAAGTCGATACAAAGCATTATGAGCATAAAGTCTATACAAACACAAGTTTACGACACTTAGTTTTGATGTGTCAAAGCTTGTTTTGATGCCAACTGTTGGCGAATATGTTAATGCTTTTGGCGTTTGTTTTCGATTTTGATAAGATGTATCTAAAAGTAACTTGGGTTGTTATCTATGGTCTGATTCCATCAATGTTGGCTTAAAAAGTTATTAAATAGATCTAAACATACCAAGTAGTTTTGTATATACTACTGTGACAGTCTGATTGGTT